ACAGGCTTCACGGTTATCAAATGAGCTCAGGTCAGCCAAATCGATTATCAGAAGTTTTGGGGTTTTGGAATTGTGGAATACAGACTGTGGACCTGTACGGCTTGATGAAGTGTCCTTTCCTAGGTCGATTTGCCCATGTCCCTGATCTCGGAGAGCTTCCTACCTAAGGAGGGTCAGAGTCACAGAGCAAAGAAATAAAGTCATCCTGAGGTACTGAGAAGTGAAATCCATGTTTCACCAACATGGTGGAGGAAGGGAAGTCTCTGCAGCCTCGAGTAACAGGCAGGTTTCCAAGGCCCTGCCATGGGCCTTTTCTGGCTGCCTCCTCCCATGTCACCTGGATTTAGTGCCTGGACAGGCTAAGAACACCATTTTCCAAAGAGCTGATGAGGCAGGCTTGGACCTTTACCTGGAGCTCCTGTCCCATAGCCATAGCCCTGAGTAGCAATGACAAAGGGCTCATTCAGTGTGATCCAAAACTTCACCTTGTCCCCCAGCCTCTGGAAGAGCACATTCGCATACTCTTTGAACCGCTGCACGATGGTCTCATTCTCCCAGCCGCCAACATCCTGGAGCGCCTGGGGCAGGTCCCAGTGGTACATGGTCACCTGTGAAAAGGCCAGGTCAGCAGTTCCATCAATTGTGCCTTCCATCGGAAGCCATTGCCATTAGGCGCGCCAGCAGAAATGTCTTTTGCTGAAGCTGAGAATGAATTTGAGACAAAGAGCCTCAGAGATTTTTGTTTCTTTGGGGGAGGGGTAAGTTGCCTCTGTTGGGGGGATGGGACTGGACGGCTGGCAACCAAAGGTGAGAAGGAAGCTCTTTGGTGTTTTTTGAATTCTGCACCATGTGAATTTACTAACAATTCAAAAATCAGATTTGAAAACAGCATGTTGTTTACACAATAAATGCGCTCAAATGGCACAGCTGACTCCTGCATGTGGACTTTACCAGGCCTGGCCAGGCCACCCTCACCTGGGGCTTGATGTTGGCGGCCAGCAGTGCGTCGATGAGCCGCATGTAGTAGCTCAGCCCCGCTTCATTGATGTACGAGATGGTTCCATCAGGGAGGACACGAGACCAGGAGATGGAAAAGCGATAGTGGGACACGCCCAGGTTCTGCAGGGCAACGAGATCTTCAGCAATCTTGTGATAACTGTCACAGGCCACGTCTCCGTTGTCGTCATTCGAAATCTTCAGGGGTGTGTGAGAAAACGTGTCCCAAATACTGAGTCCTTTGCCATCTGCTCTCCACGCACCTTCGGGACACGCCCAGGTTCTGCAGGGCAACGAGATCTTCAGCAATCTTGTGATAACTGTCACAGGCCACGTCTCCATTGTCGTCATTCCAAATCCTCAGTGGTGTGTGAGAAAACGTGTCCCAAATACTGAGTCCTTTGCCATCTGCTCTCCACGCACCTTCAATCTCAAGATGACAAGAAATAGTCCTAAGTCATTCTGTCAAGCACTCACAGGTTCCTTTCTCTCAGTGGGTAAGTACCAAGTCGGGACGTTTCTCAGCATCTCCCCTTCTGTGAGCCTTCTCTGGCCAGCCCTCTAGTTTCTGAACCCCCACAGCTTTCTGTACAGCTCTCTGGACACATGCATGACACTGCACTGTACTATGGTGTGTTTGCTGGCTGGCTTCACAGGAGGCCATGAGGTCTGGGCATCGTGTCTTTCCTCTCAGTGTCCCAGCAATTATTGCAGCAGTGCCTGGGGCCTGGTGGGTACTCGCTGAAGGTTTGAATGAACAATTCCTTGTCCCCCACTCTTAATCATGACCAAACAAGTTGAGATGATGCCAGGTATGTAGGCAGAATTTCTAATCAGGACATATATCACTGTTTCTGTGCGTCCTCCCTCTCTGGCCACCTACCCTGTGGGAAAAGTCACCACAAGCCACAGGAAAAATGCCTAGCTATAGTCCTACTTGGTCTGACAGGAGCAATTTCTGTAGTTTACTTTAAAACACTTCAGCATGCTTCAGTATACATGGTATGATATTATGTGACTGGCTGCAGCTAAGACGGTGCTGGCATTCTAATTGAGAACACACTTCCTATCTGGGGCCAAGGTTGAGAACCTGCTACAGAGGATTCTGTCTGCCTGATATACAGCAGAATCCTGCCTCTGGAATCCTGGCATTTGCCTGGAGTGAACCTTTCACATAAGGTGTAGGTCAGGCTCCTAAGCACCTGAGAGGACTGAGAGCTGGGTTTCCTTGTTTCCACAGAACAGCATACCTGAACAGTTTTTGTGTTTGCCTGCTAATTAATATTTACTTAAGAAATGTCAGCATATGGCAGAATTTGGCCCCAAACTCTCATTACAACCTGGAATTGTGGTTGTCGGGGAGTACCTAACCCTTACCGACCTCTGAAATATTTTCAGCAGTTGTGGTCATCTAGAAAATCCCCCATGGGCTGAGCGCACCTGAGGTCGGGTCAGCTCACACCACTGGCCCTGCCCAGCAGGTCCCCCAAGGGCAAACAGAGCCCCAGTCCTGTTACCAGAGAAAATAGAGGAGGCAGGAGACGGAAAGCAGGGACCCACGCCTAACTGCCGGGAAGTCACTCTTTGCTTTTTATCCTTCATTTTTCCAGGAAAAATAAAGCCATGGTATTTTCTGCATTAGTGAGCCTCATTGGGCATGAATAAGGAAGGTGACAGTATGATGTTGTTAGGACATCAAGAAAAGCCCAGGCCCACGTTTAGAGCCAATTCGAGCAAACCGCCTGCTTGGAATAGACTAGCTCTTTGCCTAAGTGTTTCTATCCAGGCTCCATCTGCGCCATCTGGCCCTGCAAACCTCCAACTCAGCACTGCCCGCCTGACTGTCGTGTTCAGACCAATTAGGGATGTGAAGGAGCTGGCTGTTCGGGAAGAGGTCCCAAGTCCCCTGTGTGGCCCTCCACAAGGTCTGCTGGAATCCCCTGCTTATGTTCCTACCCCTCACCCCTAGGCAACAAGCCCAGATCCTGGGCATAGCAGGTAGGCAGCGAATGGTGTCAAACCGCCCTGAACGCCTCACCTGATATGATGCGGAAGCTGCACTCCAGATGAAGCCCTCGGGAAAATGTCCATATAGAAACTCATCCTCCCTGGGCATTGGCATGCCGTTGTTGGTGATGACCTCTGTGTAGTATGTGGCAGAGGCTCTTGCTGTGCGAGGCCTGCTCACGTCATCAAAGTCAACCTGGTACAGTCCAAACTTGACTGTGTAGCCATGCAGCCACTCAAAGTTGTCCATCAGAGACCAGGCGGCATACCCTCGAAGGTCTACACCATCGAGCCTGTAGGCTGGGAACATTCCAAAGGAGAGCTTTACACCGGGAGGCAGGATCTCCAGGAAGCCCAGCCGAGCGCTGGCTCCTTAACTCAAGGCCATGGTCCTAACCCACTGGCTTGTGTACAAAGGAACGTATGCCCTGAGAGATGAACTGATGGTCTTGGTGATCTTACTCTTTACCAGCACTGATGACCCTGCAGCAAGTATTAATGACCGATCTGTGCAAACTCAAATTCTTCTGTTGGGGTAAAGAAACATGTCTCAAATTGAAGAGCCTCAGCCCACCTTAGAAGGTAAGCATAGAATGTTCTGGAGTGCAGTGAACACCCCAGAATATAAACTCCACTGGGGCAGAAATTTAGGTTTTGTTCACTGCTGGATTCCCAGCACCTGGTATAGAACTCGTCACAGGGTTGTTAATAATGAATGAATGTACCCGTGAAATACCTCTTGTGGGGAGTCTGTCTGTGTACATTTTTGCTTTTTCTCTGGGGAGATAAACACAGCTTTTTTTTCAGTGTGTTGAGAGACATATAATGCCCAAACAGGTAAAGAATTATGGAGTTAGGGCATAAGAGGGAGACTTGTCGCCGGTTTGTCAACCAGCCTGCCAAACTATTTCAGGCAGGTGACCTGTGAAATGTTGGAAGTCTTTGAAGGGGAATGGAGTCTTCACGTACCTTTCAGAGCTTCGTTGATGTAGGTTTTATGGTAAAATATCCTGTCGGTATCCTCCACGTCCAGACTTGTCAGCCCTGCTCCGTTTTCGGTGATGTAAATGGGGATGTCACCATACTCTTCTTTGATCCAGTTCAGCAGTCTCCGCATCCCCCAGGGTGCAGCTCTGTTCAAAGCTGTGGAAGGCCACGAAGTGTCCTCCTCCTCGGTCATCTCCTGGTCGTCTTCGTAGGAGGGTGGGTTTAGCCTGGGTGTCTTATGCTGCACGATTCTGGAGGAGTAGGTGTTGAGGCAGAAGACGTCAGCCGTAGCCCTGATGTAGTTCTTCTCTTCCTCAGTGAAGCTTGGCAGGCGGGTGGTGGCTAACTGTTGTAGCTCGCTCCTGTTCCCCACCTTCCACTTCATGGCATCAGGATAGTCTCCGTTTCTAAAAATGGGGTGGGCGAACCAGCCCAGGGAGAACTGCAGCGTTCGGTCAGCTGCTTCCACGTCTCTCGGGACCCCCGGTGACTTGGGCTCTGCCCAGCGTGCACTGAGGCTCAGTGAGATGACTCCATTCTGCTTTGGTCTGTATTTCTCATCGTAAGTATGGTAGGCTCTGGCATGAGCCTTGAGCACTGCATGGCCGATGCTATAAGGTGCCCAGCCTGGGTCCTTCACCCCTGGGGGAAAATCCCCCGAGCCATAACCCAGCCATGCCTGGTATGCGGGCTCGTTAAAGGTCATCCAGAACTTGACTCTGTCACCAAAGGTCTGGAAACAAAAGTCTGCATAGCTGTCAAACAACTCAACCAAGGAAGGATTCTCCCAGCCTCCAATGTCCTGGAGGGCCTGGGGCAGGTCCCAGTGGAACAGTGTCACCATGGGAGAGATGTTGCTTGCCACCAGCCCATCGATTAGCCTGTTGTAATAATCAACACCATGACTGTTGACAGAACTGTTTCTCCCAGTGGGGAAAATCCGAGACCAGGACAGTGAGAAGCGATAGGCATTCACCTTCAAAGCACGAAGCATATTCAGGTCGGCATCCAGTTGGTTATAGCTGTCACAGGCTATGTCTCCGGTTGCATTGTCTTTCACGTTGCTCCCTGGTGTGTGGGTAAAGTTATCCCAAATGCTGGGGCCTTTGCCATCAGCGTCCCAAGCTCCTTCGATCTGATAGGCTGATGTGGAGACGCCCCAGAGAAAGTCTTCCCGGAACGTGCCGTGATAGAACAGGTCTCTTTCAAACTCAGATTGGTTGGAGAACTTTTCCCAAACTACTTTAGCCTTGGAGGGCACCTCAGATGGAAAAGTGAAGGCTCTGATTTTGGAGCGGAAGGTTGCTGTATTAGGGGGTGCTTGTCTTTTTGCTTCCTTGGTGAGGAAACCGTTCTTTTCGATGACGTTGGTGAAAAAGTAAGCAGATCTCCTGGGCGTCCTTGGCTTACTGCTGTCGTTGAAGTTAACGTGGTGCAGTCCGAACCTCTGGCTGTACCCGGAGGGGCCTTCGAAGCCGTCAATGAGGGAACGAGCAATGTAAGAACGAACATCCACGGAGTCCTCCTTGACAGCTACAAGCAAAAATGAAATTTGGAGTTACTTTTAAGAAAAAGTATTTTTAGGGGCCGGCCTGGTGGCGGCAAGCAAAAATGAAATTTGGAGTTACTTTTAAGAAAAAGTACTTTTAAATTTTTATTAAGAATTTATGCCACTCTTCTTCCAGATGTCTCATGTGTGGACATGAGGCTTAGCCCTCTAATGCTACCCTGTCACTAGCCTTGAGGATGAAATTAATACAAAGAGGAAGTCAGAGCCAAGAATCACAAGGAAGTAGGGCTATCTACTGGATTAAGTCATTATTGAGCCTGTCTTACCTCTAAATTTCTAGTCTCTGTAGGTAATGGGGCTAATTGCCAGAAAACAGACTTTAGGAGATTGGAAAAAAAGGCGGCGGGTCTGGAGCGCCCGCGTCAGGAAACAGCGCGATCCTGAGAGCTGTGTGCTGTGATACCAGAGTATTGACTGCATTTCCAAGAGCAACAAAGGATGAATAAATCTTTCAACAACGATCCTACATTGACCAACAAGCGGCAGCGTGTTCGAGGTTTTGGGGCCGACACTGAAGAGGTCTCCTGAGAGCGCCCAAGCCCGGCCGCGGGAACGAACGAGCGATCAGCCCAGTCATCAAAGGCACGGAAAGCCAGCAAAGGTTTCCACAAAGGCAGAGAGAAGCTCGTCAGACTGCCACAGTTTGGAGGTGACTTGGGTTGCCTCAATAAATTTAACCCTTTTTCCCCAGAATGAATAAAAGGAAAACTCAGGAGGCCCCCACAAAACATTAGGTCACTTCTGGGGCCATAAATCTCAATCCAAAGGAGTATCCCTGTCTTAAAATAAATGATAGAATGTGTCCCATCTGCTACCATCACCATGCCCTTATATAGGACACATAAATCATTTAATCTTTAAAAAAAGTGCTTTCCTTTT